CAGCTACACCACAGTCCGCGATGGCTGGGGAATTGGCTCCGAGGTCAGACCCAGAGAGTAGTGGTAGCAAATCACTATGGCGTTCCGCGACCAGTGGCGTCCCCCAAGGCTTTGTCCTTGGACTGGTCCTCTTTAACATCTTTATCAATGATGCGAACATTGGTGTCAGAAGCGCACTGGCTAAGTTTGTCGAAGACACTAAACTTTGGGGCATAGCGTCCACACCTGAAGACAGGCTAGTGATCCAGGCTGACTTGGATAAACTTAGTAAGTGGGCGGATACAAACCTGATGACTTTCAATACTAAGAAATGTAAGGTACTCCACCTCAGGGAAAAAACCCTGCAGCATGCTCATAGGCTCGGCTGAAAGAGACTTGGGGGTCATGATTGACCACAAGATGAACATGAGCCACCACTGCAATGTCGCAGCTGGTAAAGCTAACCAAATTCTGGCTTGCATCCACAGATGCTTCTCAAGTAAATCTCAGGATGTCATCCTCCTGCTGTACTCAGCCTTGGTGAGGCCACAGTTGGAGTACTGTGTCCAATTCTGGGCTCCTCAATTCAACAAGGATGTCGAGAAGCTTGAGAAAGTCCAGAGGAAAGCCACGCACATGATCAGAGGGCAAGAGAATAGGTCTTATGACGAGAGGCTGAGAGCCATGGGACACTTCAGCCTGGAAACGCGCAGGCTCAGGGGGAACCTGGTAGCTGCCTATAAGTACATAACGGGTGTACATCAGGATCTGGGAGAACATCTGTTCACCAGAGCGCCCCAAGGTAAAACAAGGACCAACAGTCATAAACTCCTCCAAGACCATTTCAGGCTGGACATAAGAAAAAATGTCTTTACTGTCCCAGCCCCCAAGACCTGGAACAGACTCCCTCCAGAAGTGGTGCAGGCACCTACTCTGGACTCATTCGAGAAACGTTTGGATGCTTATCTTGCTGGGATCCTTTGACCCTAGCTGACTTCCTGCCCCGGGGCAGGGGGCTGGACTTGATGATCTTCGAGGTCCCTTCCAGCCCTAAGGTCTATGAAGCTATGAAACTAATGGGGCTAACCAATTTGCTATCTGTACTTAGGAGGATTAGTGTATGCTGCTGCTAATAGAAAGGATTTAAATCAGATCTGGAGTCATCTACACAACCCTTTCCCTATTTGAAGATGGGGTTCACATGCAACACTGTACAGACCAGTGGAAATTTTAGATGATGCAATTAATCTAATATCAAATTAAATAGTAATAATTTAAAAAACATAATGAAAGAAATAAGATTAGAATGCAGTTTCTTCTTCCTGCTACCTTAAATTTAGCCATCCAACTTTACTATCTAGTCCATTATTCTAGTTACACAACATTTCATGAAGCTTTAATTATTTCATCTAATAAAAAGGAAGGAGTGGATTCCAAAATGACTGTCCCATTCAGTGCATGCACACTGATCAGTGCTCATCCACTTACTGACATGACCTTTCAAGAAAAATGCAACCATATATTTAGTGGTAGAAGATCAATTAAGATATTTAAACATCAGAAGATCATAACATCATAGAAAAGTAGGGCTGGAAGGGACTTTAGGAGGCCACCTACTCTAGTGATTCTCAACTAAGATGCCACAGCACCTGGGGTGTCATGAGATCCTTTTAAGGGCTCCGCAGGGTGCCAATCAATATTAGCATTGTTAGGTATGTAAACACCTACACACAAGTCACAAGATAATCCCAGAGATAGGAATCCATAGTGTCAAAAACATTTTAACCTGTTGTGATATTTCTGAGTTCGTTACAACAGCAGAATTGCTTTATTACTTGTTGGTAGTCAAAAAATGACATAAGAGCTGGCATTTTGCATGAGTGCCTTGAGTCTAATGAGGGGTGCCTTGAATCTAAAAAGGTTAAGACCCACTCATCTAGTCTAACCTCCTGATTAAACCATTAGAGTCAAGTGTGCCTCTAATCCACTCTTGAAAATTTCCATGGATGGAGAGTCCACTGCTTCTCTGGGTAGCCTGTTATAAAGCTTAACCACCCTAAGTTAGCCACCCTCAAGATGTACAATTGTTACTGAGCAGTACAAAAGCTATTTACTAGCAACAGTTTTATGGAATCTCTACTGTATTTCCACTTGAGACTTGGTACTCCTGACATTAAGATACCTTTAAAACGGTTTGCTGGGTGCTTGTGTGATCGACTTCATTTCTATAAGAGTATGCAAAACCATCAATAGTCAGTCTTAGTTAATTTTCCCTAACAAAATAGGGAGTGGATCAGGTTCCATGACAAAGTGAAAGCTTCTCAGACAAGTATTAAGCTCATATACTAAATTATTGAACCCCATTATGAGTGCAAGATACAGGTAGTCCTCAACTTACAATGTTTTGCACTTACAATGTTTATAAATTGACACCCTGTTTCAACTTTCTGACATTGGTTTCGACTTTACAATGCTTGATCTGACGCAATGCCACACCAGCGAACAAGTTCGCTGCATCGCCCATCTCCCTGGAGAACATCTGTCCAGACTTCCTTGGACACTTTCTTTAAGAAAGCACACAAGACTCCAGAAAAACCTGCAGCCAAGACGCCTGAGAAGAATACAGTCAACAACCCTTCAAAAAGTCCAACAAAGAGCCCTTCAAAAAGTCACCTCGAAGAAGTCCTTCCAAATCAATGATTGCTATTCACAGTATAAATACATTAATGTAGCTATATATTACTCATCTATAATTAACTGAGTACCAAATCCTGGGTTATTTTTGGTGAAAATAGGGCAATCAGGCCTTCATTCAGGAACTAATCCCCCATTTATAACATTATTTCCTATGGGAAAAATCGGTTCTGAGTTACAACATTTCGACTTAAGACATGGTTTTCAAGAACCAGTTGTGATGCAAGTCTCAGGACTGCCTGTACTACCTGACTGCGATCTGAAAGCCGCTTCACACACACTGCTTTCTTCACAATTTCTGCCTTTCGAAAAAGTTCCAAAGTTTGAGAAGAAAGTCCCTTACTCCAAATGGAAACACAGAGAGTATTCAATTTCTTACCACATAAATTTAACTTATTTTAATAATGGATTCAAGTTAAGACATTAAATAACATTCCCATATCAAAAAAAATCTTTTCTTATTGAGATGAAAAGAAAGTTATTTTGATGATTAATTTCCTTCCAGATCTTATTACTGAGATTAGTACCATTATCACAGCAATAAAACATTCCACTGAGTCACCTTATTATATTTATATCAACCTCTAATCCCAAAACACTTGATTTGTCATCACTTCCTCCTTGAAGTGTTTTCCTCTATTTTTGGAGACATTGTTCTAAAGTATGTCTCAGTTCCCTCCACTGCCTAGTTTCTCTTTATTGTGACTACTGAGTAACAGTACTGCTAGTTATAGATACTGAAGGTTGCACCGTATTTTTCAGTTCCAGGCTGGGTTCTTGTACTCTGCCCTACCACAGAGGCTGTTGAGTATTTCACACTAACACGTGCGAATGACCAGCAAGTGCAAATGACACACTGTGAACCTACTATACCTGATAACGCAGGGGTGCACTGATAAAGATTTTTTGGGCCAATACCAACGACCGATTATTAACCAGCCATATCGGCCAATCCCGATCCAACTGCTGACATGCAGCCAGACAGCCTGGAGAGCAGCATCCAGCTAGAAAGTCTGCTGGGGGAAAGAGACGGGGCGGGAGGGGAGGGGTGGCAAATCGAGGCCTCCACAATGAGGGAGGGAGTGGCGCTATGCCAGGGGAAGGCACTGCATAGCTGGGGCTGGGTGGGGCATGGGATGGAGCCATGGAGTAAGGGTAGGCTGCTGCTGGCTCAGGGCTAGGGGGCTGCATCAGCCTCTTTCTGGCGGGGTGGGGACTGGGCTGGGGCCGCACTCAGCCACTCATGGCTCCATCCTGTGCCTTGTTCCACCCTGGCTGGACAGCATCTGCCCCTGCCCTGGCCCCACTCTCCCCCTCATGGTGGAGGCCTCGATCTGTCACCCCCATGCCCCTTCCCCCACAGAGACTTACCAGCCAGATGCTGCTCTCCAAGGTGCTGGGCTGCATCCCTGGCTGTGCACATGCATACAGTATTTATTGGTGACATGTCAGCCAAAAAATGCTAATTGCTGATAATGTCAATTTTCCTTTTATCGGTGTCAATACAATATGGACTGATATATCGGTGTACCTCTAGATAAATGTCTTCCTAATCATACTCAAGAGAGACAGGGAAAGGGTTAGATACTTTAATTGGAAGTAATATACCCCTTTCCTTTCCTTTTCACATATGTAAGAACTAAGATGCACCAGAGAGAAGACAGGTGGGTGTTCTTCCAGGATTCTAATTTATTTTCATGTCTCATAACAGGAACATGTAGAGCTCTCGGGAGATTAAACCATTTATTTTTTCAAGTTATTCGATTTAGACAAAAAAAAGGACTTACAGTGTACATTAAAATCAGAGTTTTCCATCTTTGAGTGAACCATGCTTTTCTCTATTTTAGTTACATGAGAGGTTTCACTCAATCTGACCAGTTCAACTATAGCATCACATTGGCAAAAGAACATACAGTTAAGAGAATCATTCTAAACATACATATTTTTAAGAGCTGCTGTTTAAGTTATAAGCTCTTGTGTTTATATTTAGCCCAAATACCAATCCCCATGAAAGCCTTAAACACAGCTTTGCATTAATGTACACGTCAAATAATTCACATGTAATAATATACCACCAGATAAATCTAAGTGGCAGACCTCACTATATTAGCCAAGAAGCAGAATTTGTTGCTATGGGAAGCATAACTTGGTACAATGAGGTCTTGTAATTAGTTACATGTACACATGATGCACACATTATTCACCACAGTAAGCAACACGTTACATTTAAACGCTCGTATCAAATGAGCATCCAGATTTTGATTTACTTTTATCAGCTTTATGCTGATTAATGCCATACAAAAATATTTAACTTAAAAAAGGTTTACCTTTTAGTATTGTAGGCAGTATCTTGTGGGGTTTCTTCCAACAAGGTTACATATCCCAGTGCACAAGTAAGGCTAAACAGGACTGTTAATGTGTGAGCTCTCCTGCAGTTTAGGGGGAAAACAAAAATTAACATTCAAACAAGAGAAGGCGAGGGGGAGGAAAAACAAAAAGAAGTCAAGCATATTGGAATATTTTCTTGGCCAGGCTAAAAGCTAACTAACCAACAAAACTGAACAAGTTTTATATTTTCAATTCATGTTACTACTTCTAACAACTGTACAGCTACTATTTCTGACAAATGTACAATGCAAAGAACAGAGAATATCCCATCAGTACAAAATAATTTATTGAGAGAGGCCTATCACTAAGAGGTCTTAAGCCTGCCTTATGTTTTTTCCTTAAAATTTACTTTGAAGGATCTGCAGAGACACTGGCAGAGTGAAGGGCATCCTTTCTACAATCAAATCTACTAAAAATTTTATCCTATTATAATACTTCAGATGACAAAAGCTGACATTCTTTCCTAATTCCTCAGTACTCTGAGTATGTGAATTGTCCTTTTCACTGAACTCCTACATGGACTCTGTTGGAAGGGAGGGGAAAAAAAAAAGAGAGAGAGAGACTGAAAAGGACTGAAAACTACTAATAAACATTAAGAGGAAAAGATACAAAACCCTTCTAGGCTTTTAGATTTCCTAAGAACATCAGGCTCTACACTATTTAAAAGCATTCTAGGCAACCAAAATTGGTTGATATTATTTGATTATGAGATCAAGATGTCTCTATTCAAAGATCAGAAAAAAATCCAGCAGTTTGAAGATGAAATGTTGTGCTTACTTTCTAAAGAAAGAAGATACAAATTCCTTAAACATTCTTGAATAAAAAGGAAGCTTTTATTTTAAAAATTTTTACACAATTAGGGGTCACTGTTGCTTCCCCATTTTCACTGAGCAATTCTGAGAATCTGCATTACTATCACTAAAAGTTAATAATGCTGCATTGCAAGAGCGGAGCAATACTGCTTGAAAACAGTACATGGAAACAGAAAATGAGGGTTGCCCAGGGGGTGGGGGGCAGAGGCCAGAAGTAAGGGGCACCGGGGCAGGACTGGTCAATGTTTACAAATGGGTTGTGGTACAAAAACAGTTGAGAACCACTGATCTAGTCTAGCCCCCTGCTTAAAAGCAGGACCACACCCAACTATCAGAGTTCCCTCAGGCAGGAACTCAAATATTTGTGTGTTCCTTTAGCATAAAAATTAGAATGAGTTCAGACTGTCATTTGAAGCCCAGCTTACACTACAGATGGCCTCCATATTGATCAGGGAACACAGATCTTCATAACCCTGACCAAAACAGCTGAATCTACACTAGGAGCTTACGTTAGCAGAACTAAGACAGCAGAACTGTAGCACTGCAACTTGTTCTTGGGTTTGTTATTGTATAATACTGGGAAAAAACCCACAGCTTGCTAATGTGGATGCCTACACATCAGAAGAACTATGCTGGTATAATATACTACTACAAGGATGCCAGTATAGCACTCATAGTCTTAAAGAGCTCCTACCTCTCAGAACCCATTTACTTGGCATGAAATCCATTGTCATCACACATTTACAGGGATCCTGGTTTTCTCCGACTTAAAACATCCCCAATATATATATTAGTGGTGTTTCACGTAAATCACAGACAAATGTAGATACAGGATTACTTTTTTTTTTTTTTAAACTGAAAATTGGGGATTTTTTTTAAATCAGAGAAAGCCAGGATCCCTGGACATTTATAAGTTTGTATATGAAGAGCCTGACTTGAACTTATTGAAGTGACAAACTTCATTCTTTATACATAAGAGAACCACATGTACTCAGATCCAAGACATGGGCTCTCCTCTTCCAACTGACATTGGGGGAGGCAGGGCTTGTTTTAGATTTGAGTATGGGCCCAGGGCAGGCAATAGGCTCATGAGGGGTATGGGAAGAGCAAGAGGCAGGGGGTCAGCAATGCACACGGTGTGGGTGGGAAGCAGCAAATTTAAGAAAACCCTCCAATAATTATATTCTATACATGGAAAACTATTAATTCACCTGAGAACATAGTATGACTAAACAAACTAGCCGAGACAGATGTACTTGGTCATGGCTCATTTTTCATACATATATTGCATTTACATGCCTAGTGATTGCAGGCCTTAGAAATATGAGGTATACAGTATGCTGCACTGTAGTGGCAAGCTTAAGTTTATGACGCCCCAAAATGAAATTTGTTTTCCTTTACTGTTATCACTTTGAGCTGAAAATTCTCATGCCTTGACCTGGGACCAGAAATAAAGCTTTATAAAAGTCCACCTATTTGAGAACAAACTGTAGTCTGAAAGCTTCCTTTTGAAGTTTACACAGCAAAGTTTGCTACTGAATCATTAAAGTAACTTTGGTTTAAAACTTCAAATCGTACCGTACGGAATGATTCTGAATAAAACTTAGTTCCTTTAATCAACTTAGTCAAATGGGGATATGAATAAAGTTATGATGTTCTTACCACGTCTCCTAAATTGTGCTCAATTCCTTAAAATGCAGGCTGTTGTATGTTAGAAACCTATAAGTAATGTATTAAGAGCTCAGCCATCTCTAAGCAATAAATCCAGATTTAACTAACTTCTAAAACATGTTCAAGTCAAGCCAAGGGTTACTCTGAATCAGTTTTCCTATAAGAACTCAGGTTTCAAAATGCAACCAGCACTCAGAGAGTTCTATTAAACCCAATAGAAAGCATATGAAGCAGCTCATAAGCACATGCAATCCTCTTTGTCACTATTAAAAAAGATGTTTATAATTTAATACTGTCTTCCTTTGTATTCTAAAGGGAACAGACAGATCAGAAACAATGTACTAGACTAGGTCAATGATTCTCACCCAGGGTGTTGGGGCATGCCAGAGTGCCAGGAGATAAGCAGGTACAAGGAGATAAGCAGGCATAAAGAGATAAGTGTAGGCTCAGGCTCTGCCTGGTTGCTCCCTTGCCTTAAATGCAGAGTTCCTCTATAAAGAAGTACACACTACAATAAATATATTAGTTTTTGAAATGGGGTGCAACTCAATTCAAAAGAGTTATGGAGGGGTGCCTCAAGCCTAGAAAAGGTTGAGAACCAATATACTAGATGTTAAAAAAATTACAATTCAATATTTTTCTTAATTTTTAATATAAACAGATTCTACATATGGGCTTCAAGAAAAATTCTCTTGTAAACCAGTGGTCTCCAGCCTTTTTAGGGTGAAGATCACTTTTTGGAAGTAAAAGGCACCCCAGGATCTACTGTGCCCCTACCCTTGGACTTCAGAGTGTCCCAGACCGGGTCCAGCTGAGGCCCGATACCACTTCTGTGCCACAGCTGTGTTGAGCCACACCTGCCCGGCAGCCAGACAAATATGGCATCAGGCCCTGGCTTGGCTGAATCTGGAAGGCCGCTCCATGCAGCCTAGCGGAGGCCCTGGGGGCCCGTGCCCCCCCGCCATCTGAGCTCCAGAGGTCTCAGGGGCCTGTGCCCCCCCACCCCACCTGTGCTCCAGGAGGCGGCTGCTACTGCAGGCTGCCCACTGCTGCTGCCCGGCCCCCCCCTCCCCACCTGTGCTCAGGACAAGGCGGCTGCTGCTGCAGGCTGCTTGCTGTACCGGGAGCATGGGTGGAGAGGGAAATGGACCCCAGCAGCAACAGCCGCCCCTCACACGCTCCTGGACAACCAGATCTTCCCAGATGCAGCTGGGCCGGGGCTGCCCCCACTGCTTAGCTGAGCCACATCTGTACATTGCCAGCTTGCAGCAGAGATCGAGGCACAGCAGCAGCCGCCACTGCTGTCTCCACCCCCGCAGAGATGGGCAGGAGCCAATCCCAGCACCTCTGGAGGAGTCCCCCCGGAGCCCGAATCCTCCCACCACCTGGCTGGACTGGGGCACCACTTATCTTTCCCTGCCCCTGGCTGTGCCACACAGCCAGTCACTCACTGCAGGGGCCTCAATCTGCCCCCTTTCCCTTTTCCCCCCCAGCAGACTGACCTGCTGGGGCTAGGGGCAGTGGCTGTGTGCATGCATACACACACACCCAGCTGTCCCCTGGCCCAGGATCAACCAAAGAGGCTCTGGGATCAACAGGTTGGTGACCACTTTTGTAAACAAATGTTTCCACTTTGACTAGCCTCTCTCTCAAGGATACAGAAAAAAACCCAACTGATCTAGGCATTATATACTTAGCATTCATTTTGTTGTGTCTGACTTTACAAGAATATAATAGTTTTAAAACAGTTTTATTCTTCCTAAATGGATGTTATGCAGGAAGATGCTGGGGGGAGTTGATCTAATTCAGCTACCTAGAAAAAGTCCTCTTAATGATAGCTAACCATTGTAAACAAGACAAAATAGCCATGTCACATTTTGATCACTGGGAAAAGCTTCATTCTTTCATAGTTTCGTAGTTTCTAGGGTCGGAAGGGACCTGAGCAGATCATCTAGTCTGACCCCCTGCCATGGCAGGAAGAGCACTGGGGTCAAATGACCCCAATAAGGTGGTCATCCAACCTCCTCTTAAAAACCCCCAGGGTGGGAGCCTGCACCACCTCACATGGAAGCTGGTTCCAGACCCTAGCCGCCCTGACCATGAAGTAGCGCCTCCTGATGTCCAACTTAAACCTTCCCTCCGCCAGCTTGTGACCATTGTTCCTGGTCACTCCTTGCGGCGCTCAGGGGAACAGGGACTCCCCCAGCGCCTGCTGATCCCCCCTAACCAGTTTATAACAGGCCACAAGATCCCCCCTCAGCCTTCTCTTTTGAAGGCTGAACAGGTTCAGGTCCCGCAACCTTTCCTCATAGGACCTACCCTGCTGTCCCTTGATCATACGAGTGGCCCTCCTCTGGACCCTCTCGATGCTGTCCACATCCCTCTTCAAGTGCAGCGCCCAGAACTGGACGCAGTACTCCAACTGCGGCCTGACCAGTGCCGCATAGAGGGGGAGGCCAGTCAATGCTGGATTCGTTAGCAATTTATTTTAAGGTTCCATATTATTTCCCACTTATATTTCATCACTTCTTCTAGTAGAGTTTCTTTCTGCAACGTAT